GATTCAAGCTCGGCCCCCCGGGCAACCGCTCAAGACTCCCCACCGTGAGGGTCCGCGCGCCCGACCCCCCCTTCGAAGAGGATCCCAAATTCGGGGCGAGGCCCAAAGAGCGGGAGCCCCGCCGAGAACGCTCCCGAGAGCGTCAAGGAGTCCTCCCTGCTCCACCGAAGAGCCCACCCGGCCCTCCGATGGAGGCTCTCCCCGACACTGAGGCCCCCGGGCCACGGGGGCCGCCGGGCCTCCTAGGGGACTGGTGCGCCGCGGAGGAGGTCGACGAAGAAGCAGTGCGCCTGTGGTGGATGAGGAGCCGGGTCCGCTGTGAATGGGTAGCTAGTGAGTCCGTTGAGGCTGCGCCTGGTGGTTGAGCAGCTCGATCCGCGTCGAGCGGTCGTAGAGCATCGTGGCGGCCCACAAGTACAGCAGCGGCGTGCTCAGCTCGGCCGTCGGCGAGGAGGAGAGCAGCTTGAGCACGTAGGGGAAGATGCCGACGCCGAGCGTCTCCCGCACCTCCATAGAGAGACGTGACCTTTGGGTGGGGCCGAGCTCAAGGCTGTGTGAGCAGCGTCTCCCGCACCGCAAAGGGGCCGAGGGAGACGTAGCGGCCGAGCAGGAGCAAAGAGGCGTAGCGGTGCGTCGGAGAGAGCAGCACCTGCAGCAGGATGGGCAGCTGCTCCGGCGCCGCCGCATCCGCCGCGCCGCGCGAGAGCCAGACCTGATTCGTAATTGGAGGGAGGTGACTCAAAGCATTCGTCAAGGCCCGCCGCGCCGCGCGAGAGCGAGACTTCGAAGGCTGTGAGCTGCTCGGTGAAGAAGGAGGAGGGTGGCACCGCCGGCGGAGAGGGAGAGCAGGACGGGCCGCCAGGCCGTGCGAGGCCCGCACCGCCCTCCGGGCTCGCGCCTGAGGCGCCTCGCTCGTCGCCCGCGGCTGCGCTGGGCACTCGGGACGGCGGCGGCGCTGCTGCGGCGAGCTGGGTGAGGATGGCCTGCGAGACGTGTCATGGACGTGTCATGGACGTGTCATGGACGTGTCATGGACGTGTCATGGACCGCCAGGCGAGCTGGGCCTCGGCGGCGAGGTCCCAGGCGCCCCACAGCGGGTGACCGTGCGCCTAGAACACATCCATCACACGTCCGTGACGCGTCCACGACACGTGTCCCGCGGCGGCTGGCCGTGCGCCTCTGGCAGCGGCGGCGAGGAGATTGGGTGGAGGTCATACCGCGCAAACACGCGCTGCGCGAGGAGAAAGTTGCGGCAGAGCGAGGCGAGGAGCATGTCCTGCCGATGCACACGCGAGGAGTGAGCTCTTTGGACGAGTTGCAGCTGCGGCAGAGGGAGTGAGGAGCTGTCCTGGCGGAAGAGGCGGCGGAAGAGGTCGCGCGGGAGAGTGGCCCACGCGATGGCGTCGGTCACCGCCGTGAAGATCCAGTTGAGCTCCCCGGCAGGCGTGCGCCGCTCCGACGGCGAGCCAGGCACCCTGCGACGAGGACGCGCCGAGATGCGCCGAGATGCGCCGAGATGCGCCGAGATGCCAAGCGAGGCGCGCCTCTCGAGCAGCTCGTCGGGCAGCGCCACGAGGCCATCGCGCCGGACGAACGAGAGGGCGACGCGGAGCGGCGAGGTGAGGCAGGCGGTGAAGAGGTCGGCGGGCAGCTCCGGCGAGGTTGGCAGCTCCTCGTGCGCGGCGCAGGCAGAGAGCACGATCACGTCGTGGCCGACTTTGGGCGCCGCCTCGCCCGCCCGCCCCATCGCGGCGAGCGCCTGAGGATCGCAGACACATGTCAACGGGACAGCACACGAGTGCCAGCCCTCCCCTTCGGGCGGCGCCTCGTTCAGCCGCCCCGCGTTGTGGCAGTCAAAGACGAGGACGCACGGCGTGCCGAGCCACGAGAGCAGGTCGAGGATCGAGACGGGGTGGTACTGGGTGAAGGTGCGGTTGAAGAGCCAGACCTAGCGAGAGGGAGGACGAGTCGTCCACTCCAGCTGCTCCGGGAGTGAAGCTGCGCGGTGGAAGAGCCAGACCTCCCCGTTGACTGTCGGCCGCGGCACGCCGTGACCGTTAAAGTGGAGCAGCAGCCGCTCGTCGCGGCCGGGACTCGCGCGGCGCAGCGAGGCGCACCACTTCCGCACCTCCTGCGCCGTCGGGTCCAGGCACGCCCGCACGGTCTTCGTGCCGCGCGGCTGCCACTGCTCGTACTGCTGCTGGAGCGCAGTCGCGATCGCCTCGATCGCCTTCTGGCCCGCGACCGGCCCGGCGAGCGGGTCGAGCCAGCACTCGAGCCTCGCGCACGGCGTCGGCTTGGTCACGTCGGGCGGGTCGACGCCAATGTTGAGCGCCAACACGAGCACGAGCGACGGAGTCTTCATCCGCTCGCGCATCCGCCACGCGGAGATCTCGTCGCCGCGCTCCTCGCCAGGCCATCCGCCCTCGTCCGGCAGCGCGAGCAGCAGCTGGTGCTCGTGCAGCATCCGGCGCCTGCGGACACGCGAATCGGCCCTAGCACTGCTGCCGACCGCGAGCCGGTGGCCTCGCGTGTGCGTGTATCGTGTGTGTGCCCGCGCTGGAACATACTGTTTACATATTACAAGAAAAGATGGCCTTTCTCATCACTGCCCTGGCCGCTGGCGCGCCCCCACGAGAGGCACTGGTGGTCTCTGGTGCACGGTGTCGCGTGCGTCGGTGTGCTCGGTCCGGCGGGTCGGCGTC